GACTTTTCTCAACTTAGCATTTATTTAAAAAAATAATTAACAGACTTTGATACAGTAAGCTTTCTGTTATTCAAAAAGATTTTGGAAGCCACTCCCTTAATTTGGACTAAGCCTATTTCAAATAAAATAGTCTCTCAAAAAGAACCTTCATTTTTATTAATTTATCTATTATCTAAATGTCTGCTTTTGTGGGGGGGGGGAGAAGATAATACAATAATAATAGTTAACATTGATATGAAATCATGCCATATAAAATATATAGATCTTAGTGGCTACTAATAAAATAACTGCTCTCCATGTATACTAATTACTATTTAGATATTCCTGTGTTGCCTCATGTTCAAAAGTATCTGAATTCTGTTCAGTATATAGAGGAACTTCAGAAGTTTGTGGAAGATGATAATTATAAGTAAGTATAAAAACTAATCAATTACTATGTATTCATTATTAAATTTTTGGTTTTAGAGCATTTTTTCATAAAGAACAAAAGAGCCTACTTTCATAAATGTTTCAAATTTTTAGAACATTTCTTTCATTTTCCGTGAATACTTTCTTGCTCTTTTTTTTCTTTCTCTTTCTTTCCTAGAACATAACCCTTGACTGTAAAGATTAAAAATGAATGAATGAAAAGAATAACAAACAAAAACCCCTGTAGTGGTTTAGGCATTGAATTAGGAATGAGGAAACTCATCCACATTGAAATTCAGTAATTGAGCAGTGATTCTCTCCACCCAACCTGCAATACAGGGTTTCTGAGGAAATTCCCATGAAAGTTCTTTTGAGTTCCTATAGGAAAGGTGGAATATAAATCTAACAGATGAATAACAATCAATAGTTGTTCAGGATCTCAGACAAACTTAATTTATTATGAATTATTTGTTACATTCCCCTACTCTTAATCATCTTCCCTCCCAATTTCTTATTCTGTTATTAACTGGTACTCATCATATAATCCAGAGGCATCAAACTCTATTTCATCAAGGGCCACATCAGGATTGTGTTTGGCCTCGAGAGGCTGGGGTAGGCATGGCCAGGGTGGGCATGGCCAGCTCGACATCATTCATGTCGGGGCGCCTGTGGTGGCCCAAGCACTCTGCCAGTGAAAAGAAGCTCCCCAGCTCTGTTTTCAGTTGCAATAGCCTGCTACAACCCTCTGCCAGTGAAAATGGAGCTCACAACAGCCGCCTGTGGCCCTCCCAAGCTCCATTTTCACTGGCAGAAACACCACGGCTCAGTCCTTTGCTGTTTCCACAGTGGCCCTGCAGGCCTTGAGTTTGACACCCTTGATATAATCCATACTGGCCTTTTAAAAAACTAAGACTAATTGTCATGTAGCAGTTATATGTGCAACTGTTTTGTTCTTTTTTTTAAGTTAATATACAAAGTGGAAGAAAGTTTCCAGGAAATCATGTTTTAAATGGCACTTCTAAATCACATGTATTTTTCTTTTAAATGAAAAATAGGTATTTTGTATCTTACTTATTTTTTTAAAAAAAATGGAGTTTTTTTATTTAAATCTGTCAAAATTATGATAATGGTTATTATTTGTTTATTTTTATTTATAATCCACCTAACTCATGGTTTGATGCTACTCTGAAAAGCGAATTATTACATTTTTATCTCACCTTTTCAGTATATATGTGTGTAACTCAAGGTGGTTAACATACCTAACCCTCCTGCCTTCTACTTTCCCCAACAACAATAACCCTATGATATGTATTCGACTGAGATAGAGTGACTGCCCAAGGTCATCCTGATCATGATTAAGGGAAGACTAGAAGTAATAGACTTCTTGTTTCTAGGTCAGCACCTTAACCACCAACAATCTGGCTCAAATGATTTATTGATCCTAGTAGGAACTTCTAGAAAATGAAAGTAAGTGTAGAAGTCTGGATTTATTATTAGCAAAATCTTTTTTTTCCCCTGAACACAGACTTTCATTAAAAATAGAACCTGGGACCAGTACCCCTCGCGCCACTGCATCTCGTGAAGATTTAGTTGGTAAGTATTCAAAAATCAAATGTTCTACTCCCCAGTATTCCTATTTTCTGGACTTATAATGTCCATAAAATCTGTTAAATAGAGAATCTAATTTAAGCAAACTTTTAAATAAACTAAAAAGAGAGGGAAATAGATAACATCTGTATATTCACTTCTGAAATTATTTTGAAGATTTTGAAGAATTATAATAACGAACTTGCTCTTTGCTCTACTCTTTTCATTTATTTTCTATAGGCCCCGAAGTGGGTGTTTCTCCCCAAATGGTGCGAAAGAATGCTACTGCTGAAGGAGCATTGCTACCACCAACTCCTCCATCTCCTAGAAACCTGATGCCTCATGGGCATAGAAAATGTCACAGTTTGGGATACAAGTTAGCATTTTATTTGAGATTCGGTTTCTTCTTTTATTTAAATCCATGATACTCTGAATTATTGTTATTTAAAAAGCCATGTATATGAATTAAGTATCTTCTTTGCCATTGACTTTTCACGCAGTGCATATATTAGGTTGTTTAAATAGCTCAGTATACATACACCTTACCTTACTACAAGGTAAAGATAAGTAAAGATATATATCTTATAGATAAAATAGTGGCTGAATTTGTATATCATGATAAGTCAGGATTATTAAATAATTTATTAAACAAGCCAAACTCAGATTTGCAGACAGACAATGCAATCATGACATTGTTGGAATCTGAAAACAGAGAAAAGTCTAACAATATACCAACTTTGAGCTATATATAATTGCTACCATCACAAAGTAATCATTATTTGTTTGGTTAGAATATTTTTCTATTTTGTTTTAATTTCCTTTGCTTTATACCTCTGTGCATTGTTAGAACTTTGAATAGGAAATTTGGATTAGCAGGTTAACTCACTGATCTAAACAGCTCCTTTCTGTTTTCAGGAAACAAAAATCAGGTACAAGGCAACAAAATGCTCGTTTCTGTTCATAATGTTTTGTTAAATCATAGTTACAATCATTAAACTGACAAGCCATGTTTTCATATTGATTTACATACTGAACCCAATTATTCATACCTTAGACTTAAGCAAGGCATTCAACAAAGTAGACCACAACCTGCTTCTTGGTAAGCTATAAAAAAAGTGGGATAGATAACATCACCACCAGATAGATTCGCAACTGGCTGACAAACCATACTCAACAAGTAGTCCTTAATGGTTCTTAAGTCTACATGGAGGGAAATAAGCAGTGGGGTGCCACAAGGTTCCATCTTAGGCCCAGTACTCATCAATATCTTCATAAAGGACTTAGATGAGGGAATAGAAGGAGAACTTACCAAATTTTCAGATGATACTAAGCTGGCAGGAATAGCTAACACCCTAGATGTGTTAGCTGTTCCTGCCAGACTTGAACACTGGCCCTATCTAACAAAATGAAATTCAATGTAGAGAAAAGTAAAGCCCTACACTTAGGCAAGAAAAACCAAAAGTACACATATAGACTGGGTGAAACCAGGCTTAATAGCAGTAACTGTGAGAGGGATCTTGGAGTCTTAGTGGACAACCAACTAAATATGAGCCAGCAGTGGCAGCCAAAAAAGCCAATGCAATCCTAAATTGCATTAACAGAGGGATACAATCAAGATCAAGTGAGGTACTAATACCACTTTATAAAGCCGTAGTAAGACCACACCTTGGTCACCACACTATAAAAAAGATGTTGAGACTCTAGAAAAAGTACAGAGGAGAGCAACCAGGATAATTGGGGGACTGGAGACTAAAACATATGAAGAACAGTTACAGGAACTGGGCATGGTTAGTCTAGGGGAGACATGATAGCAGTCTTCCAATATTTGAGGGGCTACCACAGAGAGGAAGTGTTCAAGCTATTTTCTAAACCTAAAGTGCCTGTAGGCCAGACAAGGAATAATGGATGGAAACTGAACAAGGAGAGATTTAACCTGGAAATAAGGAGAAATTTTCTGGCAGTGAGAACAATCAAAACAATGGCACAGCTTGCCTTCAGAAGTTGTGGGAGCTTCATCGCTTGAGACTTTCAAGAAGAGATTGGACTGCCATTTGTCAGAAATGATGTAGGGCCACCTGCTTGAGCAGGGGGTTGGACTAGATGACCTACAAGGTCCCTTCCAACTCTGTTAATCTGTTAAATGTCAGTTCTTCGTGAACACAGGGATAGATTTTCTCCAAAATGATCTCTAACTTAGTCCTTCAGGTCTTCCAGTGATGCACCAGTCACTACTATAACTAAGTCTCTCCACCTTGCTACTGATCATCATCTTGCCCTGAGCAAAAGAAAAAAGAAAAAGAAATGCAGTTAATCCTCATATTTAGTTCTAAAACTTTAGGAATTAAATTGCAAAGTACATACATACAGCTTCTTGCTTGCAAATCATGTTATGATTATGAATGTGGTTGACAATCTCTATTTAGGCTGCTTGTGATAAAGAAAAATCAATTCTTAAATATTGGTAGCATACATAACTTCCTAATAACATTTTCATTCTTCCATGTCCACTTCTAAGTGTAATATTGGAATCCATTCTTTAATTGTCCATGTTCATAAATAATTTCCCATTGTTTATAAAAGTATAATGTACATATACACAGAAAGAAAAAAGCAGCAGGCATTGTAGAATTTTAGTACAAAAATGTTAAATGTAACTCATCTATGCCTATTTCATATCTATTATAAAATTACATATTTTTGTGAACATTTAGTTTTTTAAACTCTTTTTGCCTTTATTTTGTCTTTTCCTTTGGATTTGCTTAGTGAGGTCTGATCTATTATTAAATATACTTTTGGTACTATGTTATATTCAATGGGATCAATCTTAATGTATTTTACTATTTTTCTAGTTTCATTCATAAAATGAACACAGCAGAATTTAAAAGTGCAACATTCCCGAATGCAGGACCAAGGCATCTTTTAGATGATAGTGTCATGGAATCACATGCTCCATTACGAGGGCAGGCAGAGAGCTCCACCCTTTCCAGTGGAATTTCAATAGGTGAGATTTTATCTCAGTCATTAAAAAAAATCTTTTAAAATTCAAATTTGTATTTTTTTTTCATTATATTTATATGCTACCACTCCTTCATATTATTTGAGGGTCGTGCATAGGTCCTATCCTCAGATAAAACGTATTCACACTGCAAACTGAGTTAATGACCTGGTGATTTGGGGACTAAAACCTCCCAAATTGTAAAATACTCAGGATTTACTACCTTTTCAGTGTCTAGTATAAAGTTCTATAAAAGCCTCATGCAAAAACAATCTCTGGATTAGGTCTATATTTTCCCCACCCAAATAAGAGCATGGGGAAGGAATAAAAATTATTAGAAAAAGCAAGTGGGAAAGGAATGGCTGGCTTCCCAGCATCCTTTGCAGTGAAAGCTAACTAAGTTTTGACCATCGACTGACAGGCTCACTGATCAGAACTTGGCTTAAACATCAGTCCATTGACTTACTTACTTACAAATTGACTTAGCATGGCTTAGCTAGGCTCCTAACCTTCATTTGACTAAGGTCTTTCAGATACTTGTAGCAATCTTTATTACAAATGAGAACAAGGCATCATTTTCAAGGACCCAATGAAAGGACAAACATTAGATCTAGTTTTTGTTTCAACACAAACTTGATATGAAAGTGTGAAGATGTTGAATTCATCTTTTGTCAAGGAGAGATCACTTTCGGATTGCTACAGTTTATGTATAGCATTCTCTTCCTGCACTGGGAAAGGACTCATTAACTTGGTCCACCCCAGCATCTACCTGTGGGTATTCAGAGGCTCCTGGGAAATTCCACAGGGATCTGGTAAGCAGTTCATCCAAGTCATTGGTTATACATTTGATTAATAGTACATTCAATGCCATAAATAGATTGCATCATAGCTGTCTGCCCTTGCATGCAGATGAGCTACTACTTTTTAATACACTGAAGAATCTAGGGTGATGAACCAGCAGAAAAGATGCTTAAGACGCACCTGGAGAAAGAACAATCTTGAGTGACTGAATCCTAATACAAGCCAAAGTTAGTTCACAGAATGGTGATTCAGGGGGCAAAGTTGAAGTCTTTTGTCTCCCTTATGCCGAATGCCAGCCAGCAGCATTTTTAAGACAAACTACTCCTTTCAGAACAGGATGTTCACCAATATCATCTCACTCATTCTACTGTGAGGAATTTCATGCTATCCTTCTGGGCCATCTGTTCAGAGAAGGGAGACGGTGGCACTGTTTTTTAGAGGTTTTTCCTGTGTTTGGTTGTCTTAATTCCAGAAGATGGTGCTAAATTGTTATTGTTTTTCTTCATTTCTTTCATACAGACACACAAACATAATGAAAGAGGCACAAATGCTTATTCATCATGTACTAAACAAAGAACAAGTACTATATACATATTCATTTAATATAATGCAATTAAATTATATTATGCAATTGAACGATTCAAATTTAAGTGAGTCCTAACAGTTAAGTGGGGAGAGAAAAATTGAACATAAAAACTAGTATACACAGTGAAAATAATCTCATAAACAAAACTCCCAGAAATAAGGCGTTTTCTTTTTCAACTAATGTCATTGCAATTGAGTCAGTTTTATTATGGGTATTTTTTACAAATTTTTAAAAATATTTTTAGACCTGGCAAATCATAGAATTACAGCATTTTTAAATTGATTCACTTATTCCAATCTTAGGTAGCAGTGATGGATCAGAGCTCAGTGAAGAAACTTCTTGGCCAGCATTTGAAAGGTAAGAGAAGCCAGTATATATTTGTCCAAATGCGTATTTAACCTATGACAGTTTTATAGTTCCACATAGAATAGCGTACCAAACATTCCTGGTATAGTGCTTTTGATTAAGCTCTGCTTTTCCTACACATGGATTATATATGTAAGTAAAAAAATAATGGCTAAAATAGTTCAATCATTCAAGTTTTCTGGAGAGTGTATAATCACTAATATATATGAGTGGTTCATCATCAACTTACAGCTAGTTGGGAGAATGTTGACATAAGCTTCCCAAAGCTGAAGGTCCTATTTACAGTCTAGGCTTGGAGTAAAACCCAAGTGACAGTTGTGTTGAGCTGCTCCTAGAACAGCAAGGCTGTTCATCAGCCTGACCAATTTAGAACAGTAGATAACTGACTTTTCTGTCTTAGTGAATGTATATGTTTAACTTATATAAAAACATGCTATAAATCTACTATTGTTTGTATAAAATTACTTTTATTTTGTATATCATTGCAGCAACTTTCAGGTGAAATACATTGATCATTTGATAAAGCACCGCTCATGATCTGAGGTGCTTGTGCAGCTCCCAGTTCAGTACAAATGAAGTGACATAAGAAGCTAGTAGAATCATAGTTGATTTTATAAAACTAAAGGTTTTTCTTCTGCAGGATGAACTATTCATATTCTTTTTCTTCCCTGGCTTAGATGATCTGTTTTCAGGCTACTACGTTAATGCATTTTTGCTCAGTAATACACATAAAAACAATAGTTCTCTCAATTTAAATAGAGGTAATTCTTGACCTACAATTATTTGGTCAGTGACAAATTCACGTTATGACGATTCTGAATGGAGTTACAATTGATCCTCAGAGTTTCTGGTGTCCCAGCACTCCTGTGGTCACATCATCACAATCTGGGTGCATGCAACTCATTCGCACTCACAATAGCCAAGCACCCCATTGTCATACATAATCACCAGTTGCAACTTTCCCTGCTAACTTCCCCAGAAAGTTAATGGGGAAGATGTTGTAAGTCACTGGAAGTCGTCGTCGTGGTTCCCCCCGCCCCCGCCATTCTCACTTCCAGCCCTTCTGCACTCATGCCACATCAGCCGCTCACACATCCCTGTATGCACCATATAATCCCAAAAGTTATTCAAAAGAAAAGGCCAAGATACACTGCTAAACCACTACAAGAGGGAATCTTTTCATATTCTAAAGTGATTACATTGTTCCTAATCACTTGGCTTTTAGAAATGTCTTGCTTTAACTGCTGATGTTGATTGTCCAATCATTCATTGGGATGCCAGGAAGACTATTCTATTGTTATATGTGTTCACACCAAGGAATGTGATATTCAAATAAGAGATCTTTTGAAAACATGAAATACATGAACAAGTAGTAGCAGCAATGTAGCAGAAAGGAAAGCTTATTATAGTGTTCTAACAAATGATGACTATGAATTTTAAAAATGTAACCCATGCAATTTATAATGGAATCCAACAGGAACAGATTATACCATTCTCTTGGTCCGGTGACAAGAATAGCACGAAATGGCTATTGGAGCCACATGAAAGGCAGCAGGTACCAATCCCTTGTGTTCAAGGGCCAGACACTTTCCTCTGGTGTTGGTGACTGATTTGTGAAGTGGATCTAATCTGACACTCCTATTCTTTCTAACTATCTTGATATATCGTGATGTATCACAAGAGTGAACATTCTCTATCGAAACAGAATTTCTATCATAAAACTTAATTGTATCTTCACAGTCTGTGGCTGTTCATTTTAATCTCCATATCTAACTTTGTAATATTATTTAAAAAAAATCCCAAAATGTTTTATTTATCTCTCTACTTAAAAAAAAAACAACTCTCTAAAACAGAGCTGTCAAATTGCCAGCCCATGGGCCGGATGTGTCACATGCTGGCCATGCCCACAACTGGTTTAGCGAAGGTGAAAAAAAGTCCCAATACATCATGTGATGCCACCATGATGGTATGAGTTTGACACTCCTGCTCTAAAGCATAATTTATGATATTGGATGGTACTAGAAGTGATTAGATGGCAAGAATAATGTTGAAACTTTGAAGATTGAATGAGAGTTAAGGTGTTTCTTTTTCTTTTTATCCTGAGCCATATAAATTGTAAATCAGATGCCCATTATTTCCAGAAAGGCAGAAAGAAGTGGGGTAACTGGTATTGCCAGGTCCCGCAATTTCAGTTCACATTCCTCATCCTTGCCTATGCTCACACTTCTCCAAAATATCTTTGGCAGTTTTTGTTAGAAGACAAAAACTATGTCACTGAAAATGAGTCTCTGTGCCAAAGTGCCTTTTAGCAAAAAAAAAAGAGGCTTTTTAAAAAAAATGTTACAGTAATAATATTATAAAATAAAAAGGGGTCCCCTTCATTTTGGTTTCTTAGCAATGCTATGCAAAGAATTGAGATTCCTTGCCTTAAAGTTGCTTTGAATAACATTTTATGAGATGCACTTACATTCACATCAAGGCCTTTTTACATTCTTCAGCACCTATCCAAAGTCTAGCTTCAAATAACTGTTACAATCTGATGTAATGTAGACAAGCATTTGTTAACTTTTGAAGGTCTAAAAGGTCAGTTTGCCATCTCTCTAAGTTTATAGGCTAAATAGTTGAAAGATGTATGGAAGAAAGTCTCCAAGATGTTTCAGAAATTTTTACTTTCTTAGTCTGTCTCTGGAGAGTGATGGCTATGCCACATAAGTTGCTTGGTATGCAGTTACACAAACACTTGTGCAGTCAAATATTTCCTGTCATTAAAAGTTGGTCAGCTACTCACTTGTTAGAACACAACCTATGTTACAACAGCTTTATTTAACAGCTCTGGGCCAGCTTTTCTGCTTTCCTGCTGCTTCTGTTATTGCTTTCAAATATCTTGGTGTGGTATTGTGCATGTATTGCTGTTTTTCTTTGTTTTTCTTTTTATACTTTTTTCATTAACTCAAGTGACTACTATAAAATCAATATTTTTAGCAGATCTGGAAAAATCTGGAAAGAATCATTTAAAAATAAAAGGAAAGGAATTTTTAAAGTGGAGTTGATTCCAGCTTTTTTGCTAATTAGAATTATTTGTAGTTCTTTGTCATAATATATAATAGTGAAAATTATAGTTATTCATAAATGAATTGTTAAAGTGAAAGTCTTAGCATGTTAATTAGTGCTATGCCACTAAAATGTATCTTTCTAAAATTTAATATCTTTCCATAATTAAATCCAATAATTAAAACAGTAGTATTTTGTTTCTGAAACCACAAATAATATTAGTGATACTTCAAGAATTTCTGTTGAAATACACAATACCTTCCCATATTTTATACTTTCTTTTTTTTAGTTCTGCGGAGTCTGAAGATTTAGCTGTTCATTTGTATCCAGGAGCTGTTACTATTCAAGGGGTTCTTAGAAGAAAAACTTTGTTAAAAGAGGGGAAGAAACCAACAGTAAGTTATGAAATAAATTATTTAAAATGCTTTCAAAATTGGGTTTTCCTGTTTCAAAAATATGTTAACTTAATTCATTTTAATTAGATCACCAATGATTGCTCAAGCATTTGAATTACATACATCTCAGGTTGTTAAAGTATTTAGAAGTCAGTTGATAGAAAAACAAGATATACAACATATAAAACACAAATTGAGGCAGGATATCTTGTGACTTACTCAAATAATCTGTGCAGCTACCCCTCCAATCTACTACCTGTGTTTGGTATTGAAAACTACCTGAGATGACAGTAGTTCATGTCCAGGAAATAGCTTTTAATTTTGGGGTGTTGGATATTAATGTACATTTGTTTGGGAACCTTCCACATCATCACAGCACAAAATTATTATATTACAGTATATGATGTGGATTACGGCTAACAATATCGTAAAAGCCTCATTCTGCTTAGTTAATGTGTAAAATGAATAGGAGTTAAATATATACAAATTAAGATGCCATGGAAGATACATTTTGAATTTATTATACCTTGTGATTTTCTAATCGTGTAGGTAGCTTCTTGGACCAAATACTGGGTGGCTCTATGTGGAACACAGCTTTTCTACTATGCTGCAAAGTCTTTGAAGGCTACAGAGAGAAAACACGTGTGTACTGTATTCTTGCTTTTAGCTGAGAGGTATAGTTTTTGGCTGAAAGATACTTTTCAGCCTTTCAGTGTGAATGCTTCATATTCTGCAGCACTGAGCTGCAATATAAACTTGATCTTGTCAAAATATGCTGTTCATTTGCTTCCTCTATTTTAACCTTGAGGTTTGTTGCAAGCAAGTTGTAGCAATTTTTAAAACTAATTCCAAATTCCTGCTGTAATTGTTGGAGAAAGGTCCATATCTAGAATCTGTACAAGGACTTTATAAATTCAGTTCAGTTTTTCTGTGCATGGAAGAATAGCAACTTTCAGCCCACACAAGGAGGTTCAAAGAGAAAAAGGTTTTCCATAATTGACATAAAACTTGCTTATGTGACACCTCTGTGGATCAAGATCCAGTCCCACGTTAACTCTGGGATATATAAAATAGTGTGTCCCTTTTGAGTTTACTTAATCTCTGTGTTGCATTACAAAAGCCAGCAGGTCAATTCTGCTCTGTTTGTTGCAGCCATTATTTTTAATGCAAATATTGCTGTACCCTTTTTGTTCTTATTTTCTTTTCATTGATATTCCCCCCACTCATACTCTTAGTTCAAATCTACACCAAGTAAGAATGTGTCAGTAGTGGGTTGGATGGTTATGATGGCTGATGATCCAGATCATCCGGATCTTTTCCTACTCACAGATTCTGAAAAAGGTCAGTAACATTAGTTAGTAGTAGTAATTTCTTGATTTAATCATCTTTAGAAATAACAAATCACCTTTGTCCAAATTGAACATTAAAACAGATTTTGTCCCCCAAATGGCCAAAGTCTGTTCAGCAAATCAGTCCAGAAAGTATTCTATGCTCTCCTCCAGTATTAACCCATTTTACTGATAATACTATATTCCATTTTGAAGGAGAACAGTGAATATTGTCTGGACTTTTCATTTGGGATTTAAAGGATAGCTCTTCTCTGCTATTGGATATCAGTGGTTGTTATTAACTGTTAAAAGAAAATTAAATTTACCAGTCATTTTACATTCAACAGATACCTCTTCTCTGCGATTAGTTGTTAAATCAATTATAGTCTTCAATTTTCATTTTAAAATAGTTCAAAGTTATCACAGCTTCTGAAAAAAATGACTTATAACATGTATTTGCACTTATAACTGTCACAGCACCCCTACTGTCACATGGTTGCAATTTGGACAATTGGCATCTGGCTCATATCCTGCTCACATGTAGGACTGGTTGCAACATCCTGCAAATATATGATAATTATTTGTGTCCTTTGTTGGCAATTTCCAGCAAAAAATGCCCATATGATTCATTTAATCACAGTGATTCACTTAATGTCCATTATAAAAATTGTTACAAAATCATTCCATTACAACCGCCATAAATTACAATAGAAATGTTAGTCCCATTTTTTTTATGCTAAATCAAGGATTCCTGTAGTTTTATTAGTGTAATACAAAACCTCCTTCAGAGGTTAATTGTAGTAGTGAGCTGTGATGTAGCAAATTGAATGGGGCCCTAATTGTTGAAGAGGGGACTAAAAAGAATTACATACATTAATAGATATGCATTCATCTGTTGCTGGAAAGTCATTTCAATGTTTTAAGCAAATTACCTTCTTTGAAAACAAGTATCTATCTCAAGTCCCCCATAGAAAAAGAGTGATGAAGGGAATTCAGAATGCAAGCAATGTGAGGTTAGCTTTTAGTTTAATAAGTCATCTGACCTATATGGTCAAAATGGAGAAATGCTTGAGCTTCTGGCCTGGAATATTATTAAAGCAGCTCAGAAAACATCAGATGCCAGGAAGATGAGTCTCAGGAGACTTTTGCCTTAGCAGATAAATGAGAAATTATAAGTGAATAATTTGTGACGGAGATGACCTTATACTGCAGATAAAATTGTACAAATAAGTCTTCATGGCTAATTTCATGAAAGAAATATTGGACATATGTTTACAATTCTATACTTTTCTCAGAGAAAATTCTTGATTGGCTGTATATTTTATCATATATTAAAAATACTGATAGTGTCCATTGCTAAATATATAGAAATAAAAATATTTTGTACGATAGGTCAAAGAAATGGCTACAAGGTTTGCTCCAGAGAGTTAGGAGACTTTGCCAAGTGGATTTTGATAGTGGTCAAGTGAAAATAAATAAATTCAGTCAGTGGAAGCATATGATTGAAGACATTTGAAGACAAAAGAACTACTACAGCACAAAAGAAGCGAGTGCTCCACAATAGCCAGAGCTGCAAATGCTGCAACAACGGTGCCCACACATGTCTGCATGACATGTGGCAGAACGTTCCGTGTCCATATAGGCCTTACCAGCCACCTGTGGACACACCATGGACAGCCCACAACTTGTTAGATGTCAAGGTCCTCTTTGAACACGATGGATGAACATCATGACTGAATTCCATCCACTAGTGTTTTTTTTTTTTTAAATGTTTAATAGACAATACGAGATGGTTTTAGTTTTTAATGGAAAATTCCTCATTTTGTCATTTAGGGAATTCGTACAAGTTTCAAGCTGGCAACAGAATGAATGCAATGCTGTGGTTCAAGCATCTAAGTGCTGCCTGCCAAAGCAATAGACAACAGGTAAGAGAGCAAGAATTATGAAGTGATGCTTCAGTTGCCATTAAGACTTGAATATAAAGTGGTTCCTCACAAGATACAAAAAAACTTGTGTATTATTATTGCTCTGTCCCAACTCAGTCAGGGTGGGGATGGGTTGAGGGTTCTTTTGGATTAGGAAGCAGGTGCACACCACTTCCTTAAGAATCCCTGCTTGGATTCAGTTGTGCTCAACAGCTATCATCCTGTCTCCATCCTTCCCTTTTGAGGGAAGACTGTTGAATAGTGGGGATTCAGCTGCCAAATGTTGTAGAAGTGGCTTCTAGGGACTCTTTCAATTTCAGTTTAAACCCAGGCATGGGATCAAGATAATATTAATCATTCTAATGTATTACCTTTGTTGGGAACTAGATGAGTGACCACACATCTCTTGGTCCTTTAGTCTCTTAGCAGGCTTTGATACCATCAACCTATGGTATTCTAGACTGCCTCTAAGGGGTGGGATTGAAAGCATTGTTTCAGGTTCTTATCTTTCCTGCATTGATAGTTCTAATCAATGATTGAGGAGGAAGAAAGGTCAACCCAGTGATTGCTCACATGGGATACAGCAAAGTTCATTGGGCTTTCCCCTTCAACATCTATGTGGAACTCCTGGAAGAGATCATTCATTAGTTTGTGGTACAGTAACGTCTATATGCTGATTTATATTGCAACCCTGGGCTCATCAAGCGATTCCACTGATGACTTCATCTAACTTCTGGAACATGTTGGGAATTGGATGGAAACCAACAGATTACAGTTGAATCCATGCAAGACAAAGTTGCTATTTGTTCATTGCATTTCTCTTTTTGCTCTAGAGTTGCCTCTAGAGCAGGGGTGGGCAAACTTTTTGGCTCGGGGGCCTCATTGACTTTTAAAATTTGACAGACGGGCCGCCACCTGGTGTCGAAATGCCTGTCATTACAAGTCAAAATCAAATGAATGCAATCATTCAATCATTCACATCAAACCTTAATTCTGTACCAATCTTCGGCGGGCCGGATTAAAAAGACCAACGGGCCGGATGTGGCCCGCGGGCCGTAGTTTGCCCACCCCTGCTCTAGAGGGAGAAGCATTCAACTTGGAGTTCCTCTTGGTTACTGCTGGATTTGCAGATGGAGGCTGTGGCCAGGAGGGTCTTTGCCCGCTTTTGGTTATGTGCTGGTTGCACCTGAGCAGTAGATTCTAGCTAAAATAACATGCTCTTATGAACACTCATTTGGAGTTTTACAGTCTGTTTTATGTGGGCTCTCTTCAAAGGGGACTCAGAAACTGCAGTTGTTGGCACTCCTACATTGCAAGCCTTAGGTTGGCTACAATAGGTTTCCAGGCACAATTCAAATTGTGTGCTTTAAATTACAAACTTGCAGGACCAAATTCTTCAATCTGAAATGGACCTCTCTGAAGTGAAGTGAGGATAAATTAATCCTTCCTCTTCCTGTCCCCCTCCCCAATAAATAAATAAGTGGCTCTGTGGGGAATAGAATAGTCCAAATGGAGCAAGCTTTAGACTCTCTTTTTGGAGATCTCTTCCACAGAGTATTTGGTAATAATAGTTCTTTGCAGAATAGATAGGATGATGCAGCTGGAGTAGTTTCTGAAATCATATTGTCCTGATTGCCTCTTTCACTGTCTTAATTAAAAGAAGCATAACTGTAGGGAAACTTGGGAAAATATTTCCCAAGAGAAATATCCAGCTTCTGCCTAAATACATCCAGTAAAGAGGAATACAATTGCCAAGTATTCTCTATCCCATACATATATGTACATATTATTTTTGAATGTTAAATTTCCATCTATTTTCAGTGTGACTCCTTAGTCCCAAATTTACATCTGAAATATTCCCTCCAGCTTAATGATCTTCCAGATTATAATTAAAAAAAATGTCCCTGCATATGAAGTCCAGGACTGAATTCTGTGGCTTGATTTCTCTGGCTGAGGAGCCTTTGAAGAGCAATTTGAGTATACTTTTATGAAAAACAAAATAAGAACCATTAGGTCTTCATTCAAGGGTTCTCTCGTTCACCTCCCCTCTTTTGTACACTAATGGAAAAATATTGGAAGCATCTGTTTTTGGTTTTTACTATAAGAACTATAATTTGTTTTTAAAAGAACAGTTTGAGAATAAGCAAGAATCAAAGGTTAGTTACTGGTCTCAAACCATTCTTGAAAAAAGTGGTATTTGTATAGGTTTAGTGCATTTGGAAGCAGCATATACAGGTGAAACTCAAAAAATTAGAATATCATGCAAAAGTTCATTTATTTCAGTAATGCAACTTAAAAGGTGAAACTAATATATGAGATAGACTCATTACATGCAAAGCAAGATAGGTCAAGCCGTGATTTGTCATAATTGAGATGATTTTGGCTTACAGCTCATGAAAACCCCAAATCCACAATCTCAGAAAATTAGAATATTACATGCAATCAATAAAGCAAGGATTGTACACAGAACAATATCAGACCTCTGAAAAGTATAAGCATGCGTATGTACTCAGTACTTGGTTTGGGCCCCTTTTGCAGCAATTACTGCCTCAATGTGGCGTGGCATGGAAGCTATCAGCCTGTGGCACTGCTGAGGTGTTATGGAAGAGCCAGGATGCTTCAATAGCGGCCTTCAGCTCTTCTGTTCGGTCTCATGTCTCTCATCTTTCCCTTGGCAATGCCCCATAGATTATCTATGGGGTTCAGGTCAGGTGAGTTTGCTGGCCAATCAAGCACAGTAATCCCATGGTCATTGAACCAGGTTTTGGTGCTTTTGGCAGTGTGGGCAAGTGCCAAGTCCTGCTGGAAAATGAAGTCAGCATCCCCATAAAGCTCGTCTGCAGAAGGAAGCATGAAGTGCTCCAAAATCTCCTGGTAGACGGCTGCATTGACCCTGGACTTAATGAAGCACAGTGGACCAACACCAGCAGATGACATGGCTCCCCAAATCAACACAGATTGTGGAAACTTCACACTGGACTTCAAGCATCTCCATTCTTCCTCCAGACTCTGGGTCCTTGGTTTCCAAATGAGATGCAAAAGTTGCTCTCATCAGAAAAGAGGACTTTGGACCACTGAGCAACAGACCACTTCTGTTTTTCTTTAGCCCAGGTAAGACGCTTCTGACGTTTGTTGTTCAGGAGCGGCTTGACAAGAGGAATACGACATTTGAAGCCCATGTCCAGGATCCATCTATGTGTAGTGGCTCTTGATGCACCAACTCCAGCCTCAGTCCACTCCTTGTGAAAGTCCCCAACACTTTTGAATGGCCTTTTCCTGACAATCTTCTCCAGGCTACGGTCATCCCTGCTGCTTGTGCACCTTTTTCTTCCACACTTTTCCCTTCTACATAACTTTCTATTCATGTGTTTTAATACAGCACTTTGGGAACATCCAACTTCTTTTGCAATTACCTTTTGAGGCTTTCCCTCCTTATGGAGGGTGTCAATGATGGTTTTCTGCACAACTGTCAGGTCAACAGTCTTTCCCATGATTGTGCTTCCTACTGAACCAGACTGAGAGACCATTTAAAGGCTGAGGAACCCTTTGCAGGTGTTATGGCTTAATTAGCTGATTAGAATGGGACACTTTGAGCCTAGAATATTGAACCTTTTCACAATATTCTAATTTTCTGAAATTGCGGATTTGAGGTTCTCATGAGGTGTAAGCCATAATCATCACAATTATGACAAATCACGGCTTGAACTATCTTGCTTTGCATGTAATGAGTCTCTCATATATTAGTTTCACCTTTTAAGTTGCATTACTGAAATAAATGAACTTTTGCACAATATTCTAATTTTTCGAGTTTCACCTGTAAATCTCAATCTTGTCTCTATTTGATTACATAACAGGAAACTAGGACTTGATTTCTAAACTTGAACTTAAGTTATACCTCTAATTTTCTTTACAAAATTATTTCTTCTGTTGACAGGTTCCTGCCAATTTGATGACTTTTGAGTGACCATCTACTGCAGAATTAGATCCAAGAATTTGATCCATCCACTTTTGAATGCTATTTCATGGTTTGAGAAGTCCTGTTGAAGGCATGCCAGCTGTACTTCTGACTAGGAAGTAAACAGAAGTTCTGAATAAAAGCACTAAGATTTCAGGGAATGGAATGTGACATGAACTACCATGAGGCTTGCTGCTACTCAATATTCTCTGAACTGACTTGTGGAAACCACTGCCTTAAAGAATGAAAGGTTATCCAACATGAAACACCAAATTTGTGTGTGTGGTGTGTGTATGTATATGTGTGTGAAACCTCTGGTGGTGCTGTGCTTAGGTTAAGTAGGTTGTAGCTAGTTTGAATTTGTGTTCACTTTGTAACATTTTAATTTTAAAGCCCTGCTTTTTGCAGTTTTTCTTGTTGTAAAAAAGGAGTACATCTGAAACTTAAGGGTGTTTCAAGGGGTATTTGTGCAAGGGGATAGCCTGTGTTTTCTTGAAAAATATGCAGCTTATATCTGTGTCCCTCTGTATTAGCTCTTGTGCTCAGCTAATTGGGGACACGATATAATTAGTTTAGCTTAGAATGTAACAACTGTAATATATGCAAATTTATCTTTTTATAAAGCACTGACTTTGCAGAATTTGATACTACATGAGGTTTTTCTTTTCTGCAAGTGACACAACAGCCAATATCATATTCATTCTTTTTTTGAGAGATAGAAAAAAAGATCTTGGTTGTCAGTTTCAAGGAACCTCTGGGAAACATCAGGAGGTCAGAACTGAGAATTTAATCTCAACATATTTTCAGACAAGACACCCTCATTTCTCCAAGAAACAGTTTACATGTGCGTTGTATGCTTTTCCACAAGCACATTTACCCCTGAAAATCTTTATTACTGCCTATTAATTATTGTTTTACAGATGAAAATCTTATATTTTCCTTCTTGTAAAAGAAGCACATGATTAGGATTAGAAGTTTTCTGTTTCTTTTGTGTCAGAGCTAGAAACCATATCTCTGTAGCATAAATTTATTTGTATATGGTTTGCAAAAATCACCTTTTGCATAATCAGAAAAATCTGCCACTAAAAAGATAAGCCACTGATGGGATTAATTACAAGTAGGTTTAGTTTAGTGTAAGAAAAGATTTCACATATTTCCTTAAAAAACAGCCTACCACCACGTGAGATAATTTGTAAAGAAACTCATGCTCTGAAAATTTGTGTTACTATGATAGCGTGATACTTTGAACTAGACAATTTCAGAGCCTTCACATGGTAATAATTTTGATCACAGGAAAACAAGGTCAGTTGAAATCAACTCCATCAGTGCTATAGTCCAGTTATTAAGAAAATATATATAGACTGGTTATAAAGAATAACTCAAATGCATGTGAGTAGAATGTCATTGGTTCATGTATCTAAAGGATATGTTTTCTAAAAGGCTTTTTCCTGCTAGTGGGATAGGCAGAAATGGCAGCTATCCACAGAAGGAAATAATAAGGTTGACTTAAAACTTTCATGTAAAGTACAATGAAAAAATAGGAACTTTAAAATTATCCACTTTTAAAATCTGTTTCTGTTGTTCCTGCCAAAAAGTTCACAATATACTTAAATTCTGGATTCTTAATTCTTCTGAATTAATACTCAGTTCTGACCTTATAGTGGTATTTGTTATAAAAGGAGACCTGCATGTTCTTGACTTGCTTAGTTTACATATTTGCCAATAAATGACACAGGATGTTTCATGGGAACATCTTTATAGCCAGCAGTATTACTGTATAGAGTTTGCACAATTTAATTTTCACTTTTCAGAGTTTAAAAAAAGCATCCCATTTTTAATGTTGTGGAATGGAATCCTGTGGAATTCGTTTGTTCTAAAAAAGCACGGAGGAAAAAGAATTGTATAGATAGACCTATCCACTTGATCACCATTCTTGTGAGTAGAAAGATGCAACTACAAACCACAGCTTCATTAGGTATAGAGTTTTGAAAGATAAAAGATCAGCTCGTGCCACCTTTACACATGATGTCTAATATAGTTAGTTTTGGCATGTTGAATGAGTACTTTTGAACATTTACAATATTTGATTCAGATCATAGAACATATTTTCTGAGATACATCAGTTTTGAACCTTATATAACATTTTCACAACTAATTCATTATGTCAAAATGTTTCTCAAAAGGAAATGGATGGTTTGGAAAGGGAATAAACACAAAAATAGGCACATGTATCAGCTCAAAACCAGGTTGAAAACTTGTTTTTGCCCAATAGACTAAATACCAAAAGCAGCAAAAAGTAGTAAAAATGCAATTCAAATATAAATTCATCAGTTTAAAACCTTTACTTAGCCTATTTCCTGTAAATAGTAAATAGGGGTATTACACGTTTACAGCTTTCAGCTTTCTCATACATGTTTTACAGTTTTTGTGTTGCAGTTTTTGTATTTTGTTTTGATTTACTATATTTGAAAAAAAATCTTTCAAGCCTTGAACCATTCCAGATGTTATGATAGTTTTAAAGGTTGCATTTGTAAAAAGATCTATTTAATTTCTAACAATTTGCTTCATTCATCAGTTAAATCTCAGTAATGTAAAATTTTACAATTCATACTATTAATATGTTTTAATAATTAAAAATATGTATCAGAACATCTAAATGCTGTTCGAGTGTGAATGAAGCATTTTGCTTGGTAATACAAGTTTCTTCTAAATAATTGAGCTAAATACATAGATGCTAATACTATCAGGTATTGGTTTTTATAATAATTAATAGAAAATAGAATGAGTGCCATTTTTACTATAACAAAAAACACTGGATTTTTGGTATATAAAGACATATTTCACTAAAATATATTTTTAATGTTTCATCTAAAAACAAATCAAGTTGCAAGAAATGTTTAATTCTAAAAGACAAGATCTGTTACAAGAAACACTAATCTGGTTAGTACAACTGTAGAATGCCTTATATGTCTTCATTTCATACACACACACACACACACACACACACACACACACACACAGAGTGCTTCTTCATCTTGCATACTGTAAATGAAGAACCTCTATTGCATATGCCCAACTGAGCCTCAGTTAATCAACTTTCTAATTTCCTCTCATTTTTATAAAATGCAGGGGTCATGTGTTCTGAGTATCTACTCATTATTGTGAAAAGTTGATAGCAATTAACCAGATATCAGTTAGCCCATATGAAGCTGGTTGAATAATACTGTCAGACTACTTTGTCAAATCTCAGCTAAGAAGATTTTCCTTGTAATGAAATTGTAACTTGCACTGCTTCACACACATATGATCCACACACACTTTTCTATATAAAGACATGGATGAAGCTGCTTTTCAGAACACATTAGATGAAATGAAAGATTTTGTTTCAGCTATTTATCTAAATAGTATTTGAAGATAGATATTGTTATAGACATATTATTTTCAAATAGGGTTGAGTGAGCTTTTTGATTTCTTCCTAATTTTATGGCATTCCTGTACCTTTGTGTCAGATCAATCAAATATGTTGCAAATTAGGTTTCTTTGTAATGCAAGCATCAAGTGGCTCAAGTTGCATCTTTCTTTCTCATATTTTTGTGTGTATTGCTTTTTTCAGTTTGTTGCCATTCTTAAATCTAATTTTCTAATTTGGAATATTTTATGAAAACTTGAAGACACTAAAATTTGAAGTAAAGAATTGTAAAGTTCTTTAAAGTAAAGTTATCTGCTTAGGTTTGGGTTTTTTTGAGTCACACTCTTTTCCTATTTAAAAATGGCTTGTATCCAACCTTAAAATGTACATTTAAAAATAAGACAGAAACGGAATATTCATTCAGAGGAGTGTAACATTTCCGGCTCATCATGAGATGAGCATTTTATATCTGTATAAGATTTTTTGCCAGTGCCTTAATTACCAGTTTGAAAGACCAAGGTGGCAATCCACCCAAGTATTATTTCTATGCATTCCACTACTCATGTAAATTGGGCTTTGCAGAAACTCCAATTAAATAACTGGAAATCTTCAGCCAGTAGAAAAGCTCAACTTTTCTTAGCTTATTTCTGCTTTGAAAGTCAAGCTTTATGTTTAGTAGACCCAGTAAAAAAACCTCTTAATTTGAATACGTTTCAGTTCATTGGTTTTATATAAGGAATTTTTGTGCATTTGTGAGCCAGTTCACACTTTTGCATAAACTCCTCTCTCTATATATAGATATATATGTCCTAGGCAACAGGACTAGGCAATGGAAGCTTCAAGTATTCCTTCAGACCCTCCTCTCTCATCATCCTCACCAATGTTAAGATCTTGCCATAGAAGTGCAAATTTCACTGAATCATCTAATTAATTTTGTAAAAATCCATTTTGAAACTGCAAGATAGAAACCAGTTTTTAAAAATCAGTCATACATGAGGAGTTAATATATTTCTTTCTAAACTCTATAATATCTGAATTTTGAAAAATAAATTTTCAGCAAGAATAAAAATCTTAAATTCTGAAGGCCATGACTATTAGCTCTCTAGATTAATTTTTCCACATATAGAGGAGAACTGAACAACAGGATTTATAATTGAATGCAACTTAAATAGCAAGATTTAAGTCTTTTGCAAAGATACTGGACCATACACAGACTATTTATAGTGAAGATTGTGAAAGTATATTATAGTCTAAGGTTTTTCACAACTTTCTGAAACAAAGCTGCAGACATATCAACATGTTTCTTGAGTTTGGGTGTCATTGAAAATCTAACATGAAATGTGTCCAGAGCCTCTTCTTTGCAATGGACAAATAGGCACCTTCTTTCCCTGAAAAAAAAATTATTTTTATTACTAATTAATGTGCTTACTTTACCATAAACGTATTAGAAGATAAGTGGAAAAGGGAGATTTTAGTGAATTTTTGTCTTTCTGTATCCCTTAATAATAACATAATTTATGGTTATTCACATCTTTATGAACTTCACATATGTAAAAACACGCAAAGTCTACATTATGCTACACACAAGCCATTTTAGTATCTTTTCCTCCATTTGACCTCAAGCACTATTTTGATGGGGGTAAATGCACTATGACCTCTATGAGTGATGTGCAGGTTAGCTGTTACTTGTCCTTTTTTCTTAGTTTTTTAAAATATTTTACCACATGTGTATGTTTCAACTGTGTGTTTCCATAAGCTGTTTCAAGATAGCTTAATGTATGAACTTAAAATGGATTTTTTCCTACTGAAATAAATTACTTAAAATTTGGTTTCTCTGCGTTGTCTTTTGCATAATCATGCTATGTTGCAGCAGATCTTGGAGATGGAGCCAAATTTCCTCAAATGGAATGACATCTCGGATCAATTGTAATTTTGCTGTCGTGGTAGTTTTCAGCACAGCGGAAAGTAATATGGAAACATAATATTGCCAATTGTTGGGGAAAGAAAGTATTCTTCTTTATAACAGTGCACTTTAAAACTTGGCGTGTATAGTAATTTGGTTGAAAAAGTCTATAAAATCTTACTGAAAGGATTGCAAGGATAACATCTGAAAACACTGGAATCAAAATTGTAAGAGTGTGATTTTGGAATATTTGAACAATGGCATAGTAGTGTTTCCAAAAGGATAGAGTTCAGAGAAGCTACAAGAGCCTTTCAACAGAGCATTCTTCCAAGAAGGGGTTTCAGTGATCATAGCAACCCACTGTATTCATCCCAGACAGTATTTATTCAGAATGTTTATACCCTGCACCAGTTTGAAAGGGCTCTATAACAAAAAGGAGTACACCAACAAAAGGAGTTTTAAAAAAATAAAAATAAAACAGAGGTTGTATTTAAAAACTATTATAAATAGAATCTTAATATATTATGGTTATCCTGTAAGAACTCTTGTTAAGAACAAAAGATATATTATTTTCATTCTAAATAGTCATCAAGAACAGCCCCAAGAAATTATCATTATACTACTCTAAATCGGGGGGAAGGATATATGTGTTTGTACCCTGGATCCAATTATCGGTTTATACCATTGCCAAGTCACATTAATTTTCTTTCATGTATACCACATCTTGACAAAACATATATGTTTCTATGAATTATAACAGAATAACAACTGTCCATATTTTAATAGTGTTTCCAAGAGTTGGTCACAGATTTGATGGAAGTTGTGAAACAGGTTAAACAGCCAAGAAAACAGCCAAATTCAGAAAGCACCAAGGACCCCTCATCTACTAGTTATTTATTAATACCTTTAATCAATTTATGTGATAGTTAATCTCAGAAATGTGAGTCTGAGCAGATAATAGCGCATTAAAACAATAAAAACTAGCAAAAATTTAAAAATAGCAATGGTCCCAATGATGTACTCAGCAAGACAATAAATAGTCACCCATCAATACACCATCTAAATGCCCAACCATCAACAATCCAGGTATTTATTAATACTTTACAGAAGCCAGCAGCGTCAGAGCCAGTGTTCCAGAGGGCAGGTACTACAAGAGAAAAAGCACACTTCCAAAGTCCCATAAGCTGACATCATGCCTCTTTTGTTGGACCTAGTGGGACATATAGAAATAGCCAGGGAGAGGCAGTTTGTAAATAACTTGGCCCTATGCCATGGAAGGCTTTCTAGGTAATGATCAGCATCTTGAATTCTATCTGACAGCCTGTATAGCTGCCAGAGTAAGGTTAACATGGGAGTACCAAGGTGCACTTGTAACTGCCACATTCTATCCCAGCTACATGTCCCAAAGGTGCTTTTTTTTCAAGAGGCAACTGGACTTTCTGTTTTTTCTTTGAAGACGTTTCGCTTCTCATCCAAGAAGCGAAATGTTTTCAAAGATAAACTAGAAGATCCAGTTGCCTCTTGAAAAAAAAGCTCTTTTGGGACACCCATGACCTGGATGACTGAGAATCTCCATAGACGTATACCTGTATCCCAGCTACAGCTTCCAGATGATCTTGAAAGGCAAACCCATGTAGAGTGCCTTGCAAGAATCCTCTCCAGAGTTGACTAACACTACTCTTATTACTAAAGGGTTCATAGAATTCTGTTTTTAATTGTCAAGGCAGATGATTTATTAAGTAAAGTCTCTGGTTTCTGAGCCACCAGTGTGTTTACATTTTACACATTGTTTGCCTTGCTGGTGCAGAGCAAGAGTAACAGCTGCAATAATGCTCTCAAGTGTATCACTACCTTGTGTGTAATTGCAGAAGTAGAATTTGAAAGACCATATTTGCTATACTGTATATTACGAGAGCATAGAGAATGTGGAAGACGTGGAAGAATCACCATTCTGTTCAGATTCTGGGGAGCATTTTATATAGTGAACTTTTCACCTGTGAAACAGCACAAACACTTATGCAATTATTCCTATCCATAAGATATTGAACATTAGGCTCTAAACCAGGGGTGTCCAACCTTGGTAACGTTAAGCCTGGAGGACTTCAACTCCCAGAATTCTCCAGCCAGCTTTGCTCATGCACTACTGACTTATAAACACTTTGTAGCATATAGTGAACAGATTGATCACAATACTTTGCCACTGTCAGCTGGTGCTCCACTCAAAATCCAAGAAAGAAATACTTAGACTCCTTTAATCAGAGAAAATATACCTTTCACTGGAAATCAAGTGGTAGTGACAAAGGAATTCTGAATCTGAGAAAATGGGTGCGTAAATCACATATACAAAGTAATGGCAACATTCCCACCCCCAATAGTTCAATTGGCTCATCCAATTAAAAGTTGTGTATATCATCATGTGGGCATCTCCAGGTGGTGATGAGGCTTCTGTCCGTTGACCTTGACATAATCTGATAAAGGGTTGCAGCTGCGCATAGCATAGGATAGAAACCTAAGCAAGAATGTACCCCCCCCCCCCAGTTTATACAGTTCTGGTTTGTAACACCTCCAGCTCACTTCCCATAATCATTTCCCCCTCCTCTCCCCGTTACTTATGACAGCCAAAAGATGCAAAGCAAAGGGAGAAAATCTTGAAGGCTGACATTCGGCCCTCCTAGAAAAGAGACGTTAGTCCTAAAAAAGATAAAAATAGAAGGTAATAGAAAATATACATGTAACAGCAACATACTAATTTTTTAGGGTTTATCAGGATATTTAGTACGAAATGACTTGATAAGTGTAGGAGCTCTAACGTCCTTCTCATTCACCCACTCAGCCTGGGAAGGAGGAAAATGTTTCCAAGCAACCAAATACTGGAGCCGACCCCTTCGTTTTCGAGAATCCAAAATTTCTTTAACTTCAAAATGTTGTTCACCTTCAATTAGCAATGGTACAGGGGGATCAACCTGAGTTGGTCCAAGTCGGAGGTATGTTCAGGTTTTAATAAACTAACGTGGAAAACAGGGTGGATCCATCGAAGAGTTTTTGGTAATTTCAGTTGGACTACCACAGGGTTCACAATTCATTCAATTGAGAAAGGTCCAACATACTTAGGTCCAAGTTTTTTTGACTTGTGTGATCTCCAAATATCTGGTGGATAAAAAGACCTTGTCACCCACTTGATATGGTTTTTGTGGAGTTCTCTTTTTATCTGAAAATTTTTTACGAGCTTGATGAGCATCATCTAATGCTTTACGGGTAACCGGCCAGGTAAGCTGGAGCTGTGTTATCCATTCATCTAATGACTGAATGTTAGGTTTCTCCCATGGAAGCTTGGGTATGGGTACAAAGTCTTGTCCCGAAGCCACTTTAAATGGAGTAAACCCAGTACTACTATGTACCGAATTATTATATGCCACCTCAGCGAATGGCAATAGGTCAGCCCAATTATCTTGCTGATAATTTATATAACATCAAAAATATTGTTCCAATACCGAGTTAGTTCTCTCATAAGCCCCATTGGTTTGTGGGTGGTGGGCGGAGCTTAAGCCCTGGGCAGAGCCCAATAACTTCAGGAACTCCTTCCAAAAGTTTGAGGTAAACTGGACACCCCTGTCTGAGATTATGCGTTCAGGAACCCCATGTAACCTGTAGATATGTAAAATAAGTT